CATGGTTTCAAGTGGAATATTGAAAGATTCTGGTATTTAAACTTAAAATTGTGATTTATTAATTAATTTCTTCTGTTTTTGCACTTGTGGGTTTTCTACTTCTGCTTTGGTCCTTCAGTTATTGTTTTTTTATTCTTGAAATTGTTGTAAAAAAAAAAATGCCATCTAATTTGAAAAGCTTTTTTTTTATACTTAATTTCATTGAAAAAAAGATGTCTCTGGGAAGTTAGAAGATCAACAATCCCAGCAGAAGCCATCAGATGATTCAAATGTGGATTCTACTACAAGCTTAGCATTCAAGAGGAACCTGAATAATGAGGAGGAATTAAAGAGTTCATACACATTAGATAGCCCGGTAAGTTTGGACTTTCGCATTTGTATAATCACTTTGAGGAATGCCTGTAATTTTTTTAAAAGTTCAATGAAATACTTATTAACCTTCCTTTGGCTAAGCATTTTGCTTGCTTGTTGGGGTTCCTGTCTGAATACACATGGTCCTGATTGTCAATACATATATATATAGGATAAAGCTACTAATAAGTTGTACCTAAAATGAGTAGTAGTTTAGGTTGTGCTCCCAGCCGTTAGATCTTGATTTGATGGTCCAAAATTCATATCCACTATTTGAATTTTAATATTTTTTCTGCAAATCAGTTTAAGCTAAAATTTTAGGTGTATGTACTTGACACCGTCACGCACCATATAAAATTATAAAAAATATTTTAAAATTTTTAAAATGACCAAATTATCCCCATCATTTTTCAGGGGTAGTTCGGTGATTTTATATTTGGGAAATGACCAAACCAAACTAGTTGGAATGAATTTTGTTCTTCTACAGGTTTCAGGTCCTAGTTCATTGGCTGAAAGTCAAATGCCCAGAGATACAGATTTATCTCCAGGGCAACCTTTACCATCATCCCAATCTTCAGTTGGTCTTGGTATTATTGGTCGAAGAAGCGTTTCAGATCTTGGTGCCATCGGTGATAATCTCAGTGGATCAAGTGCAGCTTTGGGAGCAGTGCATGATCAGCTATATAATCTACAAATGCTTGAAGCAGCTTGTTACAACAAGCTCCCTCAACCAAGTGACTCAGAGCGTGCAAACAAATATGTCCCTGTATGAGACTTTATCTCTATTTGCAATTTTTTTGAAATGTTGAAGTCAGAGACATATGACCTTCTTTATAGTGGTTATTCCCTTGAAATGTTGTTGAGCATTTCTTGATTTTTGGCATTTGGTTTGATCTAATTTCAGAAGCATCCTGCCGCAACCCCTTCAAGCTACCCTCAAACTCAGATTCCCATCATTGAGAACCCTGCCTTTTGGGGGAGAGTGGACTCTGATACATTGTTCTTTGCATTTTATAACCAACAGGTTGATTTTTATTCTTTTTTTTGCTTCTTAGAAACAAGGAATATCTGGTTTTCTATGCGACTGATAGCAAAGTATGTCGTTTCTAAGCAGAACACTTGTCAGCAGTACTTGGCTGCAAGAGAGTTGAAAAGGCAGTCATGGAGATACCACAAGAAGTACAATACTTGGTTTCAGCGGCATGAGGAGCCAAAAATAACAACACACGATTTTGAACAGGGAACATATGTCTACTTCGATTTCCACATAACAAATGATGAGTTCCCACAAGGGTGGTAAGTGGCCATAACACTGGAATTTTGATTAGCAAGGCTTTACGTTTTTACTGGTTTAGTGTCACATTTCGAACTTTATCTTATTAGCTTCGCCTCGTACTTGTCATGGGGAACAAAGAAACAACTAAAATTTATATACTTCTCATGCTCTCAAACCTTAGACTCCCACCTTTCAAACTGTTTGAGATTAATGATGTATTTAGTTACACTGTGGCAGCTGTAATGGGAAATAATTAAGATTCGTTAAGAGTTTCCTTTAATTCTTTTGTGCATTGTTATTGTAGGTGCCAAAGAATCAAAACTGAGTTCACATTTGAGTACACCTACCTTGAAGATGAGCTTGTCGCATAGCCATGCAGCCTCCATCCATCATCACCAGTGTCCATATAGAAACAAGTGAGACTTCTGCACTCTCTCACTCTCTCATATGCATGTGCGAGCACACGAATTCACACTCTCTCTCACACACACACACATATGCCTATGAGCGTACATGAATTCACTGTCTCTCTCTCTCTCTCTCTCTTTCTCGCACACACTATACTCTCTCTCTCTCTCTCTCTCTCTACTTCTACTACGTAACTACGTCTCTACGTCTTCGTCGTACTTACGTACGTAGTAAGTTAGTAGTACGGTTTACGTACGTGTAGTTAGTACGTAGGACGTAGTACGTACGT